AAGGCCAACACTGTGTCGTAGTAGGCTAAGCCAACATCTGCAGCACTGGTATCCCATAAGCTTCTCTTCCAATCCAGCTCCCTGATAATGCACCTGGAAAAGCAGGAGATGGCCCAAATGCTTGGGCCCCTGCACCCGCATGGGAGACCCAGAACAAGTTCCTGGCTCCTGGCTTCAGATCAGCCCAGCTGTGGCTATTGTGGCCGTTTGGGGAGTGAACCCACAGATGGAAGACCTTTCTTTCTGTCTCTCCTTCTCTCTGTAACTCTCTCAAGTAAATAAATAGAATATTTAAAAAAAAAAAAAAAAAAGGCCGGCGCCTTGGCTCACGGTGGCGCCAGCATCCCATATGGGTTTTTAGTCCCAGTTGCTCCTCTTCCAGTCCAGCTCTCTTCTGTGGCCCGGGAAGGCAGTGGAGGATGGCCCAAGTGCTTGGGCCCCTGCACCCGCATGGGAGACCAGGCGGAAGCACCTGGCTCCTGGCTTCGGATTGGCGCAACGCCGGCCATAGCAGCCATTTGGGGTGTGAACCAACAGAAGGAAGACCTTTCTCTGCCTTTCTCTCACTGTCTAACTCTATCTGTCAAAAAAAAAAAAAAAAAAAAAATGCCTATATCCCAGACTGCATCCCATGCTGGAGTGCCTAGGTCTGAATCCTGGCTCAGCTTCCTGACTCCAGCTCCCTGCTAATACACATCCTGGGTAGCAAGGATGGCCCAAGTCGTTGAGCTCCTGCTACCCACATGGAAAATCTGGATTGCATTCACCAGCTCTTGGCTCCAGCCACTGCAGCAATCTGAGGAGTAAACCAGCAGATGGGAAGACTCTCTGCCTCTCAAATTTTTTTAAAATGTTGTTTCAGGCTAATCCTCCACCTTGCGGCACCGGCACACCGGGTTCTAGTCCTGGTCGGGGCGCCGGATTCCGTCCCGGTTGCCCCTCTTCCAGGCCAGCTCTCTGCTGTGGCCAGGGAGGGCAGTGGAGGATGGCCCAAGTCCTTGGGCCCTGCACCCCATGGGAGACCAGGAGCAGTACCTGGCTCCTGCCATCGGATCAGCATGGTGCACCAGCCGCAGTGCGCTGGCCGCGGCGGCCATTGGAGGGTGAACCAACAGCAAAGGAAGACCTTTCTCTCTGTCTCTCTCTCTCTCACTGTCCACTCTGCCTGTCAAAAAGAAATAAAAATAAAAAATAAAATTTAAAAAAAAAATGTTGTTTCAAATGCTACAGTCAAGAAAGACAAAGGAAGACAGAAGTTGTGGCAGATCAAGACACTAAGGAGACAGGAGGACCAAAGGCCAATATGGCATCTTGGATTGGACCCTGAAACAGAAAAACAACATTAGAAGAAAAACTAAGGAAATTCAAATAAAGTCTATCACTGAATAGGATTTTATCAATATCAATTTCTTAGTTTTCATAAATATGTATATATGTTCACGTATAACGTTAACATTAGGGAAGCTGGGTAATGAGTACACAATAAGACCTGTCTGTACTGTTACTCTTCTATAAACTTAAAAGTTAGTCAGGTTCCTAATTAAGAAATTCCTAAAAACATCAACATCCTACCCTTTAAACCCTGAAGACACAGATGCACAAACCCAACTAAAGGCAAACTCCAAAGAGTCCACAAACACGGGAATACTTAACAGCCTCCAGGACTGCAAAAACAGTGTGGGAGATACCTGGAAGGGCAGGTAGGTACCTCATTCATATCTCCAGATTCTGATTCTGTACGTTTTCTGAATAAGAAAGAGCTGGCTATAGCACCCTATTACTACCACACACTTTATGTTACAATTTAGCTAACTATATAGGATGCATAGCTCTAGTCTTTTTAGTAAAAATACAATACTCAAATTGTGTGAAAGCACTTTTAAAATTTGAAGGCCTATATAAATACCTGATGTTGCCATTACACAGCCATATTATAAGTTAACAACCACCAAAGACCACATCCCTACAAAGCCGATGGGGTCTCACCCAGGAAGTCAGATTTTTCTCTGAAACATTTTTAATCTTTACTTTTCACAGAATGCTGAAGTACAGCAAACATACTAAAAAGCTATGCAATATTATAAAAAACAACCTTATTTACTAGATCACAGCCTGTGATGAAAAAAATGTTAACTGATTTCTGCTCTGTCAGGCAGACTCTTCATTCTTCGTATGTGGACTACTCCTAGCTCACCACACGACCACCTGGCTTGCAATTTAGCCTTCCCAGTGAGGCCCCAGTGGTGTGTAAGAACGCTTCACAAAAGAAGGGTCAACGAGAAAGCTGACTTTTCAAAAAGATATAAAGCTGGTTAACAGCCACAATGTGATCCCTAACTGTGAGTGAGATTACAGTTGCTGAATCTAAATTTAACTCCAGGACTTGGAAGGACAGTACAGGTTTCCCTCAGCTGACTAGTGGTGGGGGGTGGAAGGACTTTTTTTTTTTTGACAAATGTACTTTGATAATTGTCCTCCTTTGTAAAGTCAATACAATTCTGTCCAAGGAAGTCAAAAAGCACAATGTAATTACATATATACAGATACAGTACCTATTTGAATTCTGTAATTAAAAAAAAAACTATTGTGCAAAAATGTTAAAAGATCAAGTATGCAGTTTTATTATGACAAAAATACTTATTTTAGTAATTGGTCTTATATGAAATTTCAACACCATCACAAATCTATGAAAATTTAAAACTAATCTGTGTTCTTTACTTCCTAAATAAAGTACTGAAATAAATTTTGAAAACCCAAAAGATAAATTAACACGGGTCACAAACAAAATCAAAATCTCCCAATGTCGCCCCCACCCCACCTACCAGCTAAGAGTTAAACAATGACCCACATACTTTTCTACCTGTGAGAAGAGGTACAAAGCTTAGACTGAAAGGACTCAACTCCAAGAAAAGTAACCTATACCTTGATCCAGAAGTGGGGAGACACAGGTATTGTGTTATCACAATTTCTTCAGTTTACCAGTACTAGATAAAAGGCACAAATCAGCAGCTGGGGTACTGATTTGCAAAATAATCACATAGTATTCCAGACCAACAAGACCACTTCTTGCCTGAGGTCAAGAACAACTTTTTTAGTATTTGAAGGTAAAATTTACAAAATTTTCCTCAATACGTAAGATCATTTCATTCTGATATATTTATTTTACCTCAAGCAATAATGTTCACTGAACTCTGTTTAAATGTACGTCATTATCATGTTTGAACATCAGGCGATTTAAATGGTTCACCTTAAATCTTAACATGCTACAAATGCAGGTAACTGGAATTGCTACACAAAGCACGCTGCAAATAAAACAATGTTACATTTTAAAGCAACGTGTTATTTATAGCAACACCAACAAAGGAAGAACTTGTCCCTACAATTATTTTGATCCTTTATTGCTACCTTCTGTTAAGAAACAGGGAAAGCGCCTGTCGTAGAGAAACACAAATATTAAACTTCGTAATTGTTAATCCCTGCACAAGGATGCACGTTGTGTCTGCTTTGACAGCAAAAAAATCCCTTAAAGATCTGAAAAAGGATCTGTAGAAACAAGCTTTACTGAAAAACAAAACAGTGAAAAGCCTTTCAAGAAAAAAAATTAGTCCAAAGAGCTAATCTTCAAACTTTTTTTAGTTCTGCCTGAAGTTCAGGTATTTGCGATGCAAAATGAATGATACGGGCCTGCAACATTAAAAACATTTCACGAGACCAAGGCATTACTAGCTTTCAATAGTCCACAATATGAGAACACTGCTGTAAAAATAAACTCCAGTCCTTGATGGTAAGGAAGGTTTCTTCCACGACCTTGCACACACCCTGGAGCCTTGCGGACTGAACCCTGCAGACACACTTCCAATACCGACAGTGCGCCTCTCAGCCACAGAACCCCCGCAGGATCACGGTTACATTGTAACCGGTGCTATGTCCTCCACTCCAATTTCTAATTTCAACCCACAGGTGCTGGGGACATTCGAATCTCACTGCTCTGGACCTCATTTTCGGCAACTGATTTTCTTAGACGTCCCTTTTTTTCCCCGAAAATCGGCTGATTTAAACAAAAAAGGGAAAAGTCGAATCACAGCCTCACTTCCCGCTGGCGGGACTTTCCCATCACAATGCTGAGAGCTTAAAGCCCGATGAGGAACACACGCACTTATCTGCATTTTACTCGGTCCCCCCGCCCCTCTAATTTTCTCTGAAGCTGCAACGGTACGAATACGTGCAGGCACGAAGCCCAAACACCCCTTCCCTTTGTCGCAGCCCCACTCCCAACCCGAGCCCCTGCAAGCCCATGCGCACTCAGGCCCGGCCGCGCTCCGCGCAGGGGCCTTGCGAAGGGACAAGTGCTCCCGGGGCAAAGGTGCCCTGGACTCGCACCGGCTCAGGGGCCCGGAGCCAGCGAGCCACCCTACCCGCCCTTCCGCCCGTGGGCCTGTGCCTTCGTGCCTCTCCTATTCGAAAGGCGGCCGCGACGGCACCCAGCTCTCCGGGCAGACACCCCGCTCGGCACCGTGCGGGCGGGGAGGACCGCGCATCTCCCCCGTCCCCGCAGGCGCCACCAAGGCGCGGCACTTCTGCTTTGCCAGCTCCGAGACTCTCTCTCATGGCACTTTCGTGCTGTCCCCTCCAAGAAAGCCCCCGATGGCGCGTGGCGGGGGCCGGCGCGCAAAGCCAGCCGCACACGCTCCCGGGCAACGCGGGGACCCCGGGCCCGGGAGGTCACGCCGGGACTCGGAGGGCCGCCGCCACCGGCTGCTCTTGCCCGCGGGCCGTTAAACGCGCGCGCGAGGAGGCCGCCACGCACACCAAGCCATGGAGGGGGGGGGGGGGAGGCGGCGCCGCGCGCCCGAACGCCCGCCGCGCGCGCCTGCGGCCGTTGGGGTGGGGGTGGGGGGACGCGCCCCGCGCGGCAGCTCCTCGGGTTTCTCCTCTCTCCCGCCGTCGCCCCGACTCGTCCCCGTCCTCCAGTACCCTGCCCCGCCCACACCCCGGCGTACCTGCGCGGCTGAGTGGGAGAGGAACAAGCCTTGCTCCACCGCACGGAGAGAAGCAGAAATCGCTCACGCAACTGCGTCCGCACACACGCGTGCTCCGCCGCCGGTCTATATAATCGCGACTCAGCCTAACTTGTTGCAGCCAGGCCAGGCGAGTGGATGACCAATCCCGACTGCATCCTCTGGGCTCTTCGAACAGCAATTGGATACTGCCTCATGATGGGGGCGTGGCTCTTGATTGGCTTTGACACATACCTATGAGACTGTGAAGATCTCGTTTCCCTAGTAACGGATTGGCACTCAAAGGGCCCAGTAACTGGAAGGCATAGTAGAGAGGAGGGTGGGAAATTCTTTGACTGATACCCATAGTAGCCAATAAATGCTTGGAGATGCTCTCATTGGCTAGCACTCCATCCCCTGGGTGGAGACCCGTTTTCCGTGCAGGAGCGGTTGCTCCACAAGGTGGGGCCCGTGTACTTTGGGGAAGTAAACCCCAAGCAACTAGGAGGTGGGCAACTTGGAGGCCATGGAAGCACCTGGCCAATGGCAACACCGGAATGAGCTGATTGACATGGGGGTTGAACCGCTCTCCAAAGAGACCGAGGCTCAGGGCGGCCTTGCCCTCCGGGGCGATTAAGAGGCGGGCCGGGCTCCGGCTTCTGTCCTCTTTCTTTCGGTTGTTGGGTCCGGCCCCTGGGGTCTCCCTCTCCCGCCTTTTCCGCACAGTCTGGCACCCAGGAAGCCAAGTGGCAAAGTTTCCCTGAATTTAATTCTTCTCCTTATCAAACTCTTTCATGTCCGCGCGCTGCCTGAGGGCACTTGCTGGCCCTTCCCGTGAGTCAGCACTGCCGGCGAGGCGCGCCCGTTGGGAACGCCGGAGCCCGTGGCTAGGCGGCAGGTGGCGACGGCCGCTGGGCGGGAGGACGCGCGCCCCACGCGGGCTCCGGTCCGACTTGGCCCGCGGCACTGCCGCCGAGGAGCGATCGTTGGGCGGGCTGTGGTCAGCCCGCCGGCCTCGCCACCATTGTCACCCCTTGCTCTGGTGGCTGTGGTGCGGGGAGCTTCTGCCTTCACGCCGCCGCGCCGGGTGAAGGTAACTCCTCCTCAGACCCCTCGGGGGCCTGCCCGCCCAGCCCTGCCCTGCCCACGGCGCTCGACCTCGGACCCGGCCCTCTGTTGGCCGCCACGGGCATCGGACACGATAAGAGCCGCGGTTGCAGCGCGCTGGGCGCAGACCCGCCCGGGTCCGTTCTTGCAGCCATGTGACCGGGGGCTGGGGCTCCGTTAGGCTGCGCTGAGACACTGGGAGATGAAGCACGTGGAGCGGCCGTGCTGCGGGAGAGCGACGCCGAGCCGGCCGGCCCAGCGCAGGCGGCGGGGAGAGACGCCATGCCCGCCGCCTGGCCGCCTCCGGCCGGTGGGAGCCGCGCACCTTGGGCACCGGCTGCGCCCCGCGGATGCTGCCCCGCCGCGACGGAGCTCGGCCCGGAGCAGGCGCTAAGGAAGCTGCGAGACGTTAGCCAGGCTAAGGAATTTGGACTTTAATCTGAGGGCAGTGGAGAGCCCCAGGAAGCCTTCTGAAAGAGTCTGGGACCAAGAGATTGGCTTTTTTTTTTTTTTCTTTTGCAGGAAACTCTAAAACTTTATTGAGAGAATTTTAACAATTTTAACAGATTTCCTACATAAAGGGTGCAAGCATGGTTTCAGCGTCTCCTCATTTACAAACTCCATTGCCCTCACCTGCTTCCGGCATAGTAACCGGTTCTAGGTCTTTTAACTGCCCCGGTGACATCAAGACTAACCCCACGTTCACCACAGTTCGCCCCTAAGCCAGTTGCCCAAGCCGGTTCCAGGAGGTCACTTCCAGATCAGGCCTTTGCACTTCAGGTGTAATCTCCTGACTTTCAGGAGTTGGTTCCTCTTGTTGAAACTGGTCCTCACTGGGCTCCTGCACAGGTGCAGAGGGACGGAGAGACTCTGGATCATCTTCTCTTCCTGTAGATTTGGATGTTGGTCTTACCTTTGCACTCACACTTCACACTGCCGAGCCTCAGTCAGCGGTAAAGGAGGAAAACAAGGGCTGATACTTGGCACAGCCTTTAAGATGCCTCTTGGGATGCCCACATCCCATATCAGAGGGCCTGGGTTCCAGTCCCGGGTCCACTTCCAATTACAGCTTCCTGCCGTGCTCACCTGGGAGGCAGGAGATGATGGCTCCAGTACTTAAGTCCCTGCCGCCCATGTGGGAGACCTGGACTGAACTGAGTCACGGGCTCCTGGCTTCAGCCCGACCAGCCCCGTCTGTTGGCAGACATTCAAAGAGTAAATCAGTGAATGGAACATCTATGTACCTGCTGTTCAAATAAAATGAAGGAAAAAGGAGTAAGTAATTGCTATATTTTTTTAGGAACACTAGCCCTCACACACACATACCAGGCGCCATCGAGATTTGTGTTTTACAAGATGACTCCAAACTGAGAACAGATGGGCAAAATTTCAAACTTACAGATTAATAATTTAACCTAGGTAGACAATGCTAGGACACATGGCTATTCTTAAATCACATGTGCGTGGACTTTTCAGCTCCTGGCTCTTTTTGCAGTACAATTTGGCAATTGTCTTTCCCCCAAAATAATACCTCTCCTTGACTGTTAGCCAGTTTTGTTTACAAATGTATGTACCGGCCGGCGCCGCGGCTCACTAGGCTAATCCTCCACCTTGCGGCGCCAGCACACCGGGTTCTAGTCCCGGTCAGGGCGCCGGATTCTGTCCCGGTTGCCCCTCTTCCAGGCCAGCTCTCTGCTGTGGCCAGGGAGGGAAGGCAGTGGAGGATGGCCCAAGTGCTTGGGCCCTGCACCCTATGGGAGACCAGGAGAAGTACCTGGCTCCTGCCATCGGATCAGCGCGGCACGCCGGCCACAGTGCGGCGGGCGCAGCGGCCATTGGAAGGTGAACCAACGGCAAAGGAAGACCTTTCTCTCTGTCTCTCTCACTGTCCACTCTGCCTGTCAAAAAAAAAAAAATGTATGTACCAAAGTGTTCACTGCCGCATTGTTAGAATAATTAAACACTGACATCTTAATGCTCATCCACTGGAAAACTAATGATGATATGCACCCAGAATACCATGCAGCAGGTTTTTTGTTTGTTTGTTTGTTTGTTTGAAGGATATAGAACTGTACAGCTATGGATCAGTCTCCAGTTGTCAATTGGATTGTTAACTGAAAAGTTCAGCAAAACATATAGTGAGCAAACAAAACTCCTAATTTCCATAAACTGGGCATATAAATGCACAAGGAGAGCAGTACATTTAAAATAATAGAACCAAAGAGGATCCAGTGGGCTGGGTGTGATGTGAGACTGTACTCAAATCCTGTGTTGTGTGTTGGGAGGTAGAAGAACAAAAAGGGAGCATGCATTGCCAGAGGCAGAACGTCTGCAAGACCTCCGAGGGTGGTGTCTCCCAGAGGAAAGCGAAGGTTGGCAGCCTCCTGTGAGAGTTTCCCCATCCCCGTTGTAAACCCTCGGGCTCCACGTGCTGGATATGTACTCAATGACCAGCCATTAACTTACTACCAGTGAATGGTCTGAAGCGGTGGTACTGGGACAGAAGGGCCGTTGAGATCTAGTGGGGAGAGGCCAGGGCTGCCCAGGAGAGCCCCCATAACACAGATTTATCCATCCAAAAAGCATATAGTGGGGCCCATGCTGTGGCTTAGCTGATTAAGCTGCCACCTGCAGTGCCAGCATCCCATATGGACGCTGGTTCTAGTCCCAGCTGCTCCACTTTCTGATCTAGCTCTCTGCTATGGCCTGAGAAAGCAGTAGAAGATGGCCCAGGTCCTTATGCCCCTGCACCGGCATGGGAGACCCAGAAGAAGCTCCTGGCTTCTGGCTTCAGATCGGCACAGCTCCAGTCGTTCCGGCCATTTGGGGAGTGAACCACCGGAAGGAAGATTTCTTTCTCCTCGCCTCTGCCTCTCTGTAACTCTGCCTTTCAAATAAATAATAAATCTTAAACAAAAAAGCCCATTGTGCCATGGCTGAGAAACCCTGGTCTAATGCTTTTAGGAAGAGTCCCCAGTTTCCTCCACTGCCAACCAAGATCTACAAACCCCTCCTATACACTACCTCATCTTTCTTAGCCAATTTCCCCCGAAAGGTCTGAGAATCAGGGTGGGGAGAATTATGGGCAAGACCCAGCCCACCAGCAAATGCAGTTTGATTGGGGATGGGAAATAGTAGGTAAGGAGTAATCCTAAAACTATCACTGCCCCCCTCCTGGCTGCTGTGCAGGTTTCTGACTTAAATAAATTTTGCTTTGCTCACTGCAAATATATATAGTATATATTTTTTTCAATAAGATCAGTTTTTTCCCAAATATAGCTTATTATGCATGAAGTATGACATACTAAAAATGTGTGTATGTCTCTTTAACTCTCCGTGAACAAAGTATACTATTCATTGCAGCACTGTTTGCAGTAGACAAGAAATAAGGAAATGTCTGGCTACATAGGACTGGTTGGATACAATACAGTGATACAGTACATTCACAGTAGACTGTCAAGCAACCATACAGTAAATGAGAGCAGGCCTACATGAACAGTTACAGGGTGATCTCCATGAGGTAGCAATAAATCAAGAAAGTCAAGTGCAGGACAGTGGGCAAAGGTGCCCATTTGTTTAAAAACAGGCAGGATACCATAGTGATTATTCTTAATAAGATGTATTATTGCTGTTATGCATACACATTCGTTGTATGTTTTTGCTGAACACGCAGAAGTTATGTTTGGAAAGAGTCACATGAAATTGTTAATTATTACTAACAGGGAAGTGAACTTTGGCCAGGATAGTTTTTGTTCAGTACCCTTTGATACTGTGTTAGTTTTTTTTTCCTAAGTGCCCATATTATTTTTCAAAAAACTAATGTTATATATAAATTTTAATAGTAGTATAGGGAACTCTAATACAGAAATTTTGATTTTTTAATACAAACAGGATGGACTATTACATTATACCTTATAGGAAGGCATATGATTTTTGAAAATTGGACTTTGAAGTTTTAATCCACCTCCTGCAGATGGTTAACTTCTTTTCCCTTTGTAGCTTACAATGAAAAGATCATACAAAGATCCAAAAAGCTCCTTTTTCTAGCTTAGAAATGCATGCTGAAATGGATTCACACCGCCTTCAGCATTGATCACTTGCAAACGCATCACCCTGCCCCGACCTCTGTGGAGCCCCAGTGAGCCAGGCACCTTGCTGATGCTTTTTGCAAGGATGATCTCACTTAATGCTCACGACAACCCTATTTCCCATTTCTCCAGTACAGAAACAGGCTCAGAGGCTAAGCCACTTGCCCAAGGTGACATCGATA